CGGCCCCCGCGCAGCCGCCAGCGCGCGGATCGCGTCCATCGCGGCCTCCTTCCGCGCGAGCTCCGCCGCGACGTCCGCGGCGGCGTCGCGGTGGCCGCGCAGGGCCATCAGACTCGCCTCGTGCTCCTTCTGCTGCCGCCGCAGCTCGCGCGCGGTCTCGCGCAGCCGATCCAGCGCGAGGACGTAGCGCGTGGCGGCGAAGAGGTCGTCGAAGATGCGCTTGACCTCCTTCGGCGGGCCCATCGGCCAGGTGCCCTCCTCCTGATGGCAGAAGATGACGTGGGCCAGGACGGCCGCGGAGACGCCGAGCATCTCCGGCACCACCCGGTCCACGTCGCCCGCGCGGTAGGTCTGCGAGACGACCTTCCCCGTCGCCGGGTCCTGGTACGCCAGGGTGTTGTCCAGCGTCGTGAAGCTCGCGCGGCCGCGGTGGTAGGCGGTCTGGAAGGAGCGAATCACCTGCATGACTTTGGCCCCTTTGCCCGTGAAGATCAGCCGCAGCTGCGCCTTCACCTCGGCCTCGCCCAGGACTTTGGGGTCGTAGACAAAGGAGCTTTTCTCCACCCCGCTCCCCGGCGGCATCGCGCCGGTGCAGGCGTTCAGCAGGGCCTCGATAATCGTCGTCTTGCCCGCGCCGTTCTTGCCGAGAATCACCGTCAGGGGCTTCTGGAAGACAATGACCTGGCGATTGCTCGGCGAGGGGTCGAAACTCCGCACCCCACAGATTTGAAGCTGCTCAATACTCGTCATAATTGCTTTTTTTTTTCTTTTTAATGTGTGTGTGGATTCTTATTTTTAGAGACCCTCCTTTTTAGTGAGTGCTCTTTCAGGATGCCAAATGTTAGGTCGTTGGCTGCTTCGCAGCCTCGCCGGCTGCTTTGTTGAACAATAACTTAAGAGGTAATAATAATAAAATAAACAGGGCACCCTCCCCCCCTCCCCTTTACTCACCCAGAAAAAAGGGGAAAAAAAGAGAAAAACTAGTTGGTGGTAGCGTTTTATCTAGAAAGCAAGAACCCCGTGCGTGCGCGCACAGGCACTTCAATACCCACAGCGGACACCTATCCGCCTGGGCCCGTTTGCTCGCAGGATCTTTATAAATAGACATTTAATTTAAAGGGACATCATTCCCGACGAAAATGAGGAAAAAAAAAGGTTCATTGGCAAAGCAACACTACTTCTTCTTGGTGTTAGGGATAAACCGCACCTTGCAGGAGTGGCGAATCTTCCGGCGCTCCACCGGGCGCGCCCGGACCGTTCGGCTGTGAATCGCGCACGCGATGCAGAAGCGCTGCTTCATGTAGAGCTTCGGCATCGGGAAGCCGACGCTGTAGACCGGGGAGGCCTCCGCGACGTCGCGGGCCGAGGCGGCGTCCAACATCCGCCGGACGACGAAGCGGCCCACCGCCTTGTCCTTCGGGGTGAGGCGGCCGCAGTTGAAGCAGTGCACTGGCTTGACCCGCCCGCGGCTGTGCGGCGGCTTCGCGCGACCGTGATTGCGGCGTTTGGTGGTCATTTCTCCCGTATAAGGCGCACAGGGCAAGTATGTCCTCAATCCTTTTGATAAATATTTATTTGGGGGGAAATTAACAGAGAATAAGACAAGAAAGGAGGGAATAAAAGTGGTACGTCGGTTGTCAAGTTTACCCATAATCGCTCTCGCACACTCTATATCTCTATATAGATAGATCCATCGATAGTGTGGGTATCTATATCATGCGGTTTGCGCCATAAGTAGTCTAGCGGATAGGGAATACCCCCATTTTCAAGAATTCTAATCTCTTTTTAGTTGGGTATTGCAAATTTGATGTTCAGAATATTCACGCAGATGCTAAGCGCAATGCATAGACCCCATACTTATGAGCGCATATAAATCGCCTCTATTTAATTTTTTCCTTTCCTTTTTCAGCGATCACTTAGTGTTGCCCCCTCCCCTCGCGCCGTAAAAGCTAGTAAATTATGCTATCCGGCAAACCAAGCAGAAATTAATGTCATATTTTTATCCAGTAGTGAATCCGTTAAGGACGGCTTTTCTATGCGAAGGATTCATTTCAATCATAGGGAAACTATATCTATAATGAAATGATAATAAATTCAGGAATCGTCTACAGGTCCAAACGGCTGATAAGACTCCGATAATATCCTCCCCCCTCCTCTACACACCCACAAACAAACACGGTTACAATCGAAACAAAAAGGTAAGGATCAACAAAATTACGCGTTGCATAGCAATCCTCAAGGCAGAAAAAAAAATAAATGATAGAATGTCGCTCCGACTCCTAGAGGGGAAAAATGAGGCCGGCAAACTATTCTAGCCCCCCTCCTCCCCCCCCCTTCTTTCTGGTTGCGATCAATCGCGCGCGTCCCCCACGCCGTCCTCGTAGATGCCGAAGATCGCCTCGGCCTCGGCGAGGCAAGGGGAGTCGTAGACCTTGATAATCCGCTGCTCCCCCCGGCCTTTTCGCAGGCTCAGGCGGGTGGTGGAGGCGTGGGCCATGATATGCCCCCCGATGGGCTTCTTCGCGTCGGCCTGGAAGAGCGGCGCGGCGCCGTCGACGTTGGCGACGACTTGGTTGGTCACGACGACGGCGACGCCGAACTCCTCGGCGAGGTTGTGCAGGGCGCGCAGGAATTGGCCGAGGTGGATTTGCCGCGCGGCGAGTTCGCTCCGGCCGGAGTAATCCGTCCGATAAAGCGCCGTCGCGGAGTCCACGACGACCAGGGCGAAGCGATTCTCCGCCATCATCGCGGCGGCCTGGACGAGGAGCTGGCGCTGGTGGTCGGTGTTGAAGGCCCGGGCGCAGGCCACGTTCGCCAGGACGTCCTGCGGGTCGAGCTGGTAGCGCCCCGCCACCGCGACGAGCCGCTCCGGGCGGAAGGTCCCCTCGGTGTCGATATACAACGCCATCCCCTCCGCCCCCCCCTGGGAGATCGGGAGCTGGCAGGTCACGCAGAGGGTATGGCAAAGCTGGGACTTCCCGGTGCGGAACTCCCCGAAGAGCTCCGTAATACTGCCCGTTTCGACGCCCCCGCCGAGCAGTTGGTCCACCTCGCGGCTCCCGGTGGTGACCATCACGATCTCCTTCCGGGCCTCGTGGTAGGCCACCGCGGAGGTGAAGCCCATCGGCACCAACTTCGCGCACTCCGCCATGATCTTCTCGGCCTTCGCCTCGCTGATGCCCTTCACCGCGAGGATGTGCTTTTTCGGCGCGTAGGCCACGGACTCGACGGTGTAGAAGCCGTGCTCCATCAACTTTTTGATGTCCCCGCCCGCGATCCCGTAGTTCTCGAGGATCTGCACCACCCGAAAGCCCGGCGAGGTCGACGCCTCCAGGATCTCCGAGCCCGGCGCGGTCGCCATCGACGGCGCCGCGGCCTCCAGAGGCTTCTCCCCCACGTCGTGCTCCTCCACCTCAGTGATTTCCTCCTCGGCCGGGGGGGCGGAGGGGCGTCCGCGCCGTATTTTCTTCGCGCGCGTCTGCATGGCGTTCGAAAGGCGATGAAATGGGCCCCCCAAAAGGTCAAAAATACCCTGAACGACCTAGGCCTGGGTTGGTTTCCTATTCGCTGTTGATTGACACCACCGGTGCGTTTGGCTTGAGTTAATTGCACTCCTCTACATTAACAAGGGGAGAAAGATAAAGAGGGATATATATATATATACATAAAGAAAGAAAGAGGGGTATATTTATCTGTATCTATCAATATATATAGATAAAGATATGCATGAAACCGGATAATGTGTTGATGACAGAGATGACATGTTGTATGTGTTAGATGTGATTACCGCGTGGGAATTTTTGCCATTGAAATGTTTAGTATGAATCAGCGAGTGAAGGGAAAGTAATGGTTAAGGCTGTTCAAAATAGAAGATTTTATTTTTTATAATAGCGGTGAACGAACTGTGATCAATTTAAGAGGACGTTTCCATCTTCCTACGAAGGAAGCTCCACATTTGTATAACAGTTGTTGAAAACTTTGCATTCATATATCAGTTCAGATATTTCTGAAATGTTTATATATCACCAAAATTTTTTAATTGCTAATATATTAACTTAATCTTTGTCCCTGTATGGGAAGAATGATCACAGGCAGATCATCAGCACCACCATAGAGCCAGATTTGGTATAGGTCGAATCGTATGAAGAAGCTTTTCAAGACATCTACCGATCCTCTATCACCATTATTTTATTCATTCCCGTACTGCATTATGTGAAAGTGGAAGAGAATGTATGAGATGAAAAACGAGAAGGGGTATAGGAAAAACAAGCAATGGATTTTTTGATTTTTATTTCAAGTAGCTCTTTTCAACCCACTATACATCTGATTACACTTCTTACATCGACCTCCTGATGCACATTTCATTGCGCAGGCTTTGCAAAAACAGAGATGATAGCAACTATTGGTCTTGTACTCCGCGGGAATCTTCTGGCATTTAAGGCATATCACCGGCTGTTTCTCATTTTCCAACACAGAAGAGGACGATGAGGATTTTGAATAGGCGTCTGAAGGGTTAGGCATCGTTGAATGCTTGGAAATATCTAGTGTTAATATTTTTTCTTGATGACAAGAACATAACCTATAGATATTAAAAAGACTGTCATCACGCCAAGTGAAGGAAAATGTATTATAAAAGTGCCTCATCAGCGGTATCCCCCATATCCTGAAAAAAAAAAAAGCAGTACTAAACCGACGACGTCACAAAAAGTCTATACTTCATATTGCTTATGAAGGTTTTCTTTTTGGTATATGAAGAGAAAGCAAAATTAAATCGTTCATAGGATAGTCTTTATATAAGTTTTCCAATCCATTTCCCTAAGTATAAAGTAGACCATATTAAAGATTCCTTTTCCATCCATCTACAAAAAGTAGCAGCATCTATTGATACATAATGTACTCACGCATTTCTACAGCTTTAGGTGGTGATGATGCCCGTCCGAAGGAAATTAAGATTTAGTAGTTCGATAGGCTCGCAGCTTTAGATCAATCTCGTGCATTTTCTTACAAGTTGCTCGGTATACCTCAAAAGACTCTTGAAAGTTTTTTTTGTTATCCCCGTACGCGTCGATCGTCGTCTTGGCGATCGTACGGCTTTTTTCATGCAGCTTACGTAGATCCGCTTCTAAGGTCTTCACCAATGCCTCTGGGGTGCATACCGAGATGATCAACTTGTTTTGATTGGCCTCCTCCAGTTCATTCATCTGGCCATAAAGTTCACTCTGCATGGTCTTGACTTCATTGTAGAGGGATTCGACTTCCGTACGGAGGGCCACGTTGGCATTCGCCAACGATTCCAATTCATTTACGGATCTCACGCTCATCTCGCGCATTTGCTTCATAATAGGGAGCTGATAACAATAGGCGTCCAGGCAGTTTGGATTTTCGTTCAGATCCACGAGCAAACGGTCCGTTTCTCGGCTGAGCTGTTCGGTTATACTTCCCATTGAGGGCGGGGAGACGGTCCCCCAATAAACCCAGAGATGATTAAACGCATTTCGCACGCACTCCACCAACGACGACGTCTCGGGATCCCATTCCGGGGTTTTGGAATCCGGCTCGTCCACTTTGGTCATAGGGACTTTGAAAAAAAGATACGACATCGCGATACTCGGCGCGCTTTGCGGGAAAGTCGGGGAAAGACTGACCAAAAGCGTCAGGGAGCGGCTAGAACGGTCCTCCATGCGCTCACTGCCCTCAATGGCAAAGATCAGCTCTGACTGGGACTCCTTCACGACTTTGAATTGCGGAAATGCATTTTTCAACTCATTAATATGAGCATTTCGATCCCGGGGCATGAGTCCCTGAAATAATATAATAGTAATAATAATAATAAGGGAAAACTAAAGAATAAATATTGAAAGCTACAGAGGAAGAATGATTCAAAGGAGGAATCGTTTCTTGGAAGGGTAAGTAAATAAACAAAAGGATAATGTAAATGATAATAATTTGATCGAAAATATATTCAAGAGGGACATAGAGTTCAAAAGAGAAGCAAAATAATAAAAAAGTGTAATCCTATCCTTGGTTTGCTTCCCTTTCTAGGGAAGGTTTGTTTTCTTTCCCATGGTAACAACGTTATAGACTATTCACTGAGCGTTGGGGCTTCGTCGTTCGTTTTGTTTCCCTTTTTATCCGTCGTACACGCCTTTTTGGTGAGTTTAGATCCCCATTCCGAAGTCTGCTGCCTAATTCGACGAAGCGTGAGCTGGATGCACGGTCTAACAATAATGAATTTGATTGTGCTTTCCACACTTCGTACGCGTTCCATGAGGTAGTGCGTGATAAGAGACGCACTCCAGATGTCCGAGGACCATCCCTGATGGTTCTCCTCCGAGGGTTTGGCCATTTCGCCCGCGCGGATCCGTCGGCGGAAGGTCGACGCCGGCTTGATATCGACCAAAAAAGCGCACTGGTGGAATAGCTGGAGGGTTGCCGTTTGCCGGACCTCCGAGCCCTGCCGCCAGATGGAGACGCCGAATTCCTGTCGAATCGCGACCCCCGCCTCGCCGTCCTCGCGGAGATGAAAGACATGCTGGACGGCGAGGCGCTGGATGGGCTCTTGCGGGGCCGACGGGCTCGGCCCCCCCTCGCGGAGGGCCACCACCACAACCTCCAGTTCCCCCCCCGCGCCGTCCGGCCCCACCTCCCGCACCCACCCCGTCGCTGCGAGGCCATAAGGCCCCTCCCCCCACGGCGAGGCCGAATCATCGCCCTTGCAAAACCCCCTCCCCGCGTTCTCGTATTTCCGCAAAACGCCGTTGAGCTGGCCTTCCAGCTGGGCCAAAAACCCGCCTCGCTCGGCCTGCCCTCGCGCCTCGTGGCGCCCACTCCACGGGCTGCGATAACGCGCCTTGGCCCCCGCCGCCCCCTTTATTTCATTCCACACCCCGCACACAAATCGCCCTGGACCCCCCCCCTCGATGGCCGTTTCGAG